GGACTTCAACTTCCAGAATTCCCCAGCCAGCTTGCTGGCTGGGGAATCCTGGGAGTTGAAGTCCACACGTTTTAAAGTTGCCAAAGTTGAAACACTGATCTAAATGAATACTCTTTAGATAGTTTGCAGGGGTGTCAGTATATTATATGGGGTATAGTAAAAAAAGTCAAAAAGGTGGTCATGATGGTGTGATTGAAGCTTCTCCCATTTTTAAAAAACAGTTTCAATTGCACCATCACAGTCCTCATCTTTGACCATATCTTGTGGACATCTGATTGCAGTGAAATATTCAGTGGCTTCCAGATGTGCCCCAGAATACAGTTTCCAAATTAATTCACAATTAATATTGCCCCATCAAAGAACTTCAATATATGGCAGAAAAATTCTGGGAAAACTTTCTAGGGCAGTTTGGCTAAAAGGTTTGTGAAATATCTGACCTAGCAGAAATATCTGACCTAGCAGAATCATTTTACTGATTCTGCACCATCTGTGATAAGGTGTGATTTCCCACAAATACCATCCACTATGATGGTAACCTTCAGCGACAAACATTTATTTGGTTTTGCAAGAAATAGAGCAGAATAGGACTTTCTTGGGAAAACAAAATGGCATTCTAACTTTCTTTTTCCTCGAATAATTTTTCCACCTCTCTCTCCCATTCCCCAAATACAGCAAAGCAAGGCAGCCAATTTTGAGTCTGGTAAAAGAAATGGGAATGATCCTTGCTGTCTCCATGTGAATAGAGGTTACCCTCGGAACGAATTGAGGCAGTGAAGAGGAAAATCACTAGTGTGCCTTCATTCCTTACTCCATCAAAGAAACCTGCATTGCACTCCCTTTCCAAGACTCATGGATGCATTAACCTCGGTCAGTCCAAGGCAACACAAGGATTTTCAGGAAAGTCAACACAAAAGAGGAAAGCCCAATAGGGATTTCTTAGTGGCTCATTTCTGTAGTTGTGGGTGTTTTAAAGCAGTGCTTCTCAACCTCGGCAACTTGAAGCTGTGTGGACTTCAACTCCCAGAATTCCCCATGCTTGCTGGGGAATTCTGGGAG